TCATAAAATTCTACGAAAACATTTCATTATTTTCATAAATAATAAAAATTTCACAGGAATTCAATTATTTACAAATTATTTTCATATATTTTTCAATTATTTTCATAAATAATAAAAAATTTCACAGGAATTCAATTATTTACAAATTATTTTCATACATTTTTCAATTATTTTCATAAATAATAACATTTTTTACAGGGATTCAATTATTTTCATAAATAATAAAACTCAATGCTGAATTTCAATTATTTTTAATATACAATTTTAATTGAATTCTTCGAAAAATATAATTATTCTTAAAAATTTTATTAGAATTCGTCGAAAGAATTCAATTATTTGAAAATTTGTTAATAAATTTTGTTATAAGAATTGAATTTTGAGAAACATTTAATTAGATATTTAATAGATTATTTATTTTTGTATTTAAATTATTCAATTTTCGTAGAATTTTATAATAAATTTTGATTTAAGAATGAATTTCAGTTAAAATTTTAGATAATAATTTAATAAAAATTAAATTTTTAGAATTCATAAGAAAATTCTGACTTTTAATGTCTTTTTTGTAGAAAAAAATTGAATTTACGAGAAGTTACAAATGATTGCAGAAATTCAATTATTTTCAAAAGGAATAAAATTCTTCGCGGAAATTCAAATTGTATTCAAAAAATTTCGTCAAAATTTCAATTATCATTATAAATAATAAAATTCCTCTCCAAAATTCATTATTATTTTCAAAAATATTAATAAAATTCTTCGCAATAATTCAATTATTTTCATAAATAATAGAAATATAATAGGAATTCAATTATTTACAAGTTTTTGATAAATTTCTTTGCAATAATTTAATTATTTTTAGGTATAAATAATATAAATTTTTTTTTATAGAATTCAATTATTTTCAAGTATAAATAATATAAAATTTTTTTTAGTAATTAAATTATTTTTTTCATAAATAATAAAAGTCATCGCAGAATTTCAATAAATTTTTAATTAAATTTATTTAAAGAATAAAATTATTTTCAAAAATTTTAATTAAATTCTTTGTGTAACAATTCAAATTTTTTCAAAATAATTTCAATAAAATTCTTCGCAAAAATACAATTATGTTTAAAAGTTTAAAAAAATTCTCGTCAAAATTTCAATTATCTTTACAAATAATAAAATTTTTCTCCGAAATTCAAATATTTTTAAAACTTTTAATAAAATTCTTGTCAGAATTTCAATTATTTTTAATACAATTTTCATCAAAATTTCTCGAAAATTTCTCGAAAATGCAATTACTCTTAAAAATTTTATTAAAATTTGTCAAAAGAATTCAATTATATTATTAATTATATTTATTTTTATAGTTAAATAACTGAATTCTCGTAGAATTTTCTAATAAATATTGATTTAAAAATGAATTCAAAATTGAAATCTTTGAAAATTTAAACTTTTCATACTTTTAATTAAGAATTCAATAGAATTAATTTTTCTCATTAAGTTTAATGGGATTTTTTTTAATTATTTAAAGTTTTTAATTTCTAATACATTTAATTGAAGAATGTCAGAGTAATGGAAATTTCGTAAAATTAAATTGTAAACAAAAGAATTTGAAAATTCACAAAGAACTTTCTCAAAAATTATTAAAAACAAAATGGAAGAATTTTAGTTGAAAATTCTAGAAATAAATAATCGTAATGATGAAAATAATTTTTGAACAAGTTACAGTAAGAAAGTAGCAAGTTTTATAATAATATTCTTATATGTTATTGAATTTCAAATATTTGAAAATTTTAATTTCTATATGAAAAAATAATAATGATTAAATATTTATTTAAAAATGAAATTATTGATGTTTTCGAATAATTTTCGTTTTAAAAACCTAGAAAAGTGAGGGGAACGTGGCAACCCTGTTTTTTGTAAATATTTTTTTTTTATTTTTGGTCCAATTGCAGGGATCACAGACTGTTATGAGATTTCCACAGATCGGAGAATTCGAGAAAAAGTCAGGGAATTTTATCAAAAGTATTGGAGAAATATTAAATTTCTAGAATTCATATAAGAAAATCCTAGTTTTTGGTGTTCAACAATCTTTGAAAATAATACAAAAAATTTATTTCTATTGAATTTTTTAACGATTTAGAAGAAAAAATATTTTTCTATTTAAATTTTTACAAATTGCTTTTCTATAGTGGAAAATTTTCAATATTTTGACTTCAACATCTCAGAGCCAAAAATAGCTAAAAGCTTCAATTTTTTTCAATTGTAGGTCTCCTCGGGAGATATAAAATGAGAGTATTTTCAGCCAGATTCATAAAGTTGAACTTTATTTTATTTTTTTCATTTTTAATTTTGTAAAACAAAGTTTTTGACACATTTTAATCCACACATTCACATAATCTTTCCTTTCCATCTTTACCAAAACATTTAATTAAAAAAAAAATTTTTTTTCATTTTTTATAAAAAACGAAAAAATTTTTTATTTTGTGTTTATAATACAAAATATTTTTTCTTTTTTTATGCTTAATTAAAAAAAAATTAAGTGTTAAGATGGGGTCAAAAGTGACAATGCTAAATTTTAAAAATTATTATTTTTTCAATAAATATTTTTTCCAAAATTCTTTTTTTTCAGCAGAAATTTTGTTTCAAAATAGTGGGAAATTTGAAAGTCAATATAGTAGTAGTGGAAAAATTTAATTATTGTTATTAATTTGCCAGTATAGCATTAACTATCAAATTGTTTAATCGTTAATTAAATTTTCGGTTCATTAAATTAAATTTTCTGTGAAAAATGTCAAAAAATTTAAGTTGTGACCGAATTCTAATATTTTGTACTCAAGATAATTATAAACTAATTATCTTTTAGTTACTAATTAATTCAAAATAATTGAATTACTGCAAAGAATTTTATAAAAATTAGAAAACTTTGTGAATAATTAAATTCTTGTGGAATTTTTATTATTTATGAAAATAATTAAATGTTTTGTGTAGAATTTTATCAAAATTTTGTTTAAATAATTGAATTCTTTTGGAAAATTTTATTAAAATAGTTGATAATAGTAGATATATTGAAAATCATTGAAAGGAGAAAAATTTTCGAAAATAATTGAAATTTTGCCAAAAGTTTTATTCATATTTTTGAAAATAATTGAATTTTGGAGAGCAATTTTATTATTTTATAAAAATAATTGAAATTTTGACGAGTATTTTAAAAAATTTTTGAACATAATTGAATTTTTGCGTAGACATCTGGAGTAATTTTTTTTTAAATTATTTGTCTAACATTTATAATATTGTAAATTTTTATACATTTCATTTCTTTTATAGGTATTTTACCTCATTATTTTGGAAATATTTTACTTTGGAAATTTTTTTTGAAATTTTTTCCTTTGAAAAGAAGAAAATTTTGCTTTATTATTTTCCAAATGAAAATTTTTTTTTCTTCGAATCATTATAATAATAAACGTTGTGACCTCTTTTCAAAAAGTTGCTTTTGCAATTTTTATAAAACATTTAATTTCAGGTCTTTGAAATTTTAAAAAGTCTTAATTTTTGTGTAAAAAAAATAATAATATTGATTAAATATTTAGTTTTTTGAAAATTATTGATATTTCGAATAATTTTTCAATTGACGATATTCACAAAAAGATGTACTAGAAATATTTCTTTATTTATCTAATTATTTCGCCTATTTTGTAAATGTTTTATAAAAAATTTTATTTCTAAATAGTTTGCAATTAATTTTATATTTTATAACAAATCTAAATACAATCTTGTTTAAACTTTCATCGATTGAAATCTAAATTGACTCTGAATTTAATTCAACGAAAGTTTTAATCTTTGAAAATCCAATGCATCTTATTTTTAATTAAGGTCAACGTCAGTTGATCTAAATTTCAATTTACCGAAATTGTAAACAATATTAATTTCCAATTCTAATCCTGATAAATCTCAAATTCAATCATTTTAAACTTGAGTTTGTGTATTTCTTTTATTTATTTATATTTTAGGAACAATTTAGCAAAATCTGATAAACTATTTTTTTGTAATTTTATAGACATGATTTCATGAATATATAAATTATATTGTAACTATTATGCATAACAATAATTTAGAAAACATGTTTCAAAAACATTTATCAGTTTTTATAAACTTATCCTATTTTCCGAAAATTTCAAACATTTTTCAAAAATTATTGACTTTAATAAAAAATATCAAAAAGCTGAATTAAATATTTTCAAAGTTTATAAATTATTTTTCAGAATTGACGCAATAGTGTTATAAAAATTTGAAAAGGAAAAAAATAAATTTCAAAACTTTTGGAACATAACTCGGCTTCGTACTAAAAAGAATAAAAAAATCTAATTGAAATTTTATTTATTCAAAATTGTTATTGATAAAATATTTTACTATCAATAAATTTTAAACTTTTTAATTTTAAATTATTATCAATGAACAAATAAAATTAATCATAATCTCAATAAATGCAAATTATTTATTTTATATGTAATTTTTTTGTCACTTCTTGTCACCTTTTTCTAGAAAATAATTGAATTTCAAAAAAAAAAAAAATTCTATTTAAAAGAAAAAAGTCCTGTGATCCTACAATTGTTACAATTTTGAATTTTTAGAAATTTTATAATTGACATGAATTCTCTTATAATCTAAAAAAATATCTCTCCATTTTTTTATACGCAAGATAAAAGAAATTTTAAAAGTTGTCTAAATTTATACGTTGGCTGAATGAAACGTGATAATGGGGAAGTGCAAAATATTGTTATAAAGAAAAAAAAAGTTTCATATAAAATGTTGAATTTACGAGAAAGGAGCATTATTGAAAATGACTTTTTTTTCGAGATAGAGGGGAAAATTCATAAAAAAATGTCATTTCTATATTACTTTCAAACATATTCTATCAGAAATCGTGATGAAATAGAATTGAAAAAGGTCAAACAGAGAAAATGACATTTAGATTTCGATTTAATGTAAAAAAGCAATAAATTCTGTTTTGCTTGCAGTGAATTTCGATCATTTCAAAATACTCAGAGCCATTGGAAAGGGGAGTTTTGGAAAGGTAATAAGTTTATTCTGCGAATTTACTTCCGTTTAAGTGTAAAATTAGTTTGCCAATATTTTATTCAACGTAGTAATAAAATAAAACTGTTTAACCGTAACTATTTTTCGAATATTTTTATTTCACTGTTTCAAAAAGTATTTTAAATCTAGTTTCAAATTTAATGAGGTTTTTTTCAAAAAAAAGAGACTTCATTAAAAATTTTTCTCTTTTTTTGACGTTTTTTCGAAGTTTAACATTTTTTAATTATTATTCACTTTATTGTTTATGGAAGTATTTCACAATTTACTTAAGGGGAACGTATACCGATACTTTTAATTATATCAAGAAAATAATTTAAATATTCCATAAAATTGTTTTTAAAGTAATTTTTTGTGAGGAATTCAATGGCCATAAAATAAAATAGGTCAGAAAATATTTTGAACCTTTCGAAATTTTTTTTTTTTAAATTGGTAGATTTTAAAATCCATTCGTAATTTGGAAGAAAATATTTTTTTACATCCAAAAAAATTACCAAATGAAAAAATTGATTTTTACCATTTTTAAAGTATTTTTTGAAAATATGTAAAACTTTGTTTTCAGGTTGAAAATGCAAAAAAATACCAATTATTCAATTTTTTATTTAAAAATTCGTTTGTTTATTTTTCTAACTAATTTTAGACCATAATTTTTATATATAAAAAATAAATGCAAAAAAGATACCAATTATTCAATTTTTTATTTGAAAATTCGTTTGTTTATTTTTCTAACTAATTTTAGTCCATAATTTTTATATGTAAAAAATAAAAAAAAATTATTATAAAATTATAATTTGAAATTAGTTAAAAAAATAAACAAATAAATTTTATAAAATCATTGAATAATAGATAATAATATTATTTTTTGCATTTTCAACCTACAAACAATGTTTCTTTTCAAAAGAATGCTTCAAAAATGGTAAAAATCAATTTTTTCATTTGACAATTTTTTGTGCGTTCAAAAACATATTTTCTACAAAATCACGTTTGAATTTCAAAATCAGAAAATTTTTAAGAAAATTAAAATTCAAAAAAAGGTCAAATTATTTTCTGACCGATTTTATTTTATGATCAATTGAATTCCTCACAAAAAATTTCCTTAAAAAGAATTTTGTGGAATATTTAAATTATTTTTTTGATACAGTTAAAAATAAAGGTTTATTCTCCCCATAAAATATAATTAACGCTTTTGCAAAAAAAATCCAACTTTCATTAAAGGGTTTTATTTCTTTTCCTTCTTTCAAATTTCTTGAAATAAGGGTTTGTGGTTTCGATTTTTTTTTCTTATTTCAGTTTTCACGCTCAATTTTAATTAAATAATTCTACATTGTAAAAACTTGGCATTTTTCTAATTTACTAACGAGATTATTATTGAAACAAAAAAATGTAATTTTTTTTCTCTTTCAAGGTTTGCATCGTGAAGAAAAAAGATCGCACCGGAAATATGTACGCTATGAAGTACGTTCACAAGTGGGAATGTGCCGAAAGGGGTGCCTTGACTAACGTTGCCAGAGAAGTTGAGATCCTTTCGAAAGTGGAACATCCTTTTTTAGTGAATTTATGGTTCAGTTTTCAAGGTTTGCAAAATTTCTTTCTTGATATTCTCCCATTATTTTTAATCGAGAAAGAAGCAAAAAAAAATTTTTTTAATTAATTTTCCATTCTTTCTTTTTTTTTTGAGAATTTTCTCGCTCAACAAAATCTCTTTTTTTGCGAGTATTAATTTCATGTAAAAGAAGAGCCCACAAAGAGAAAACGAGAGATTTATAATTCTTTTTATAAAAAAGAAAAACGAGATGAGAAAATGCTCTTTAATTTTTTTTTCTCAACACGATGCAAAATATTTAACATCATATTCTCAAATGTAAAAGACAGTTTTTTCCGAGAGAAAAAATTTCGAGGACTTCTGTCCAAAAGGGTAAAGGTCCTTTTGAATATAATATTAAGAATTTTTTAAAAATTGTTACTTCTTTTGAGTTTTAATTGCCTCTTATAATTTTATTATTATACGTTTTTTTCGTATAAAGAGGGAAAATTTTTTTAAAATAACGTTTTTAAAAGTACAGTTAAAAAGTTGAGAAATCACAAATCATTGGAGAAATTCAATTATTTTCGAAAGTAGTAAAATTCTTAGCAGAAATTCAATTATGTTTAAAATTTTTTTTAAATTCTCGACAAAATTTAAATTATTTTTAGAAATAATTAAATTCTTCTCCAAAATTCAATTATTTTCAAAAATTTTAATAAAATTTTTGTTAAAATTTAAATTATTTTTAAAAAAAATCTCCTCAATTCAATGATTTTTAATATATACTATTTTAATAAAATTTTTCAAAAAAATTCAATTTTTTCCCAAAAATTAATTAAATTCTACACAAGCCTTTAATTATTTTGATAAAAAAATAAAAATTTTCGAAAGTAATAAAATTCTTCGCAGAAATTCAATTATGTTTCAAAAATTAAAAAATATTCTCGTCAAAATTTCAATTATCTTTATAAATAATAAAATTCTTTTCTGAAATTCAATTATTTTCAAAAATTTTCCTCAATTCAATGATTTTTAATATCTACTATTTTAACAAAATTTTCCAAAAGAATTCAATTATTTTCCAAAAATTAATAAAATTCTACGCAAACCCCCCCCCTCCCCCCAGGAATCAATTATTTTACAAATTTTTTACAAATTTCTTCGCAATCACCCAATTATTTTCATAAATAATAACATTTTCATAGGTATTTAATTAATTTCGTAAATAATAAAACATTGAATTATTCGATGAATTATTTATTTTTGTATTTAAATAATTGAATTCTATAGTAGAATTTTCTAATAAAACTTTTAGCTTATATGTGAATATTAAAAGGAATATATATTGTGAATTTTGAGAAATAATTAAATAATGAAAAGGTTTCAAATTTAAATCTTTGAAAATCAAAATTTTTCATATTTTTAACTAACAATCCTATCGAATTAATTTTTTTTACAAAGTTTAATAGCAATCTTTTTTTTTAAATTATTTAAAGTTTTTATATTTTCTAATATATATTTAATTGAAAAATGAACGAATAATTGAAGTTTTGTTAAATTGAATTGTTAACAAATGAATTTGAAAATACTCAAAGAAGTTTTTCAAAAATTATTAAAAATAATGCATTTAAAGAAGAATTTTAGTTGAAAACACGAAATAAAAATTGAAATTTTTAAAAGTTACAAATTAATGTAGAAGTTAAATTATTTTCAAAAATAATAATATTCTTTGCAAAAATTAAATATTGTTCAAAAATAATAAAATTCTTCTTAGGGATTTAATTATTTTCGCAAATAATAAAACTCAACGCAAAATTTCAATTACTTTTTATACAATTTTAATCAAATTTTTCGAAAAATATATAATTATTCTTAAAAATTTTATTCAAATTCGTCAGAAGAATTGAATTATTTAACAATTTTTTGATACAATTCTTTATGGGAATTGAATTTTAAGAAACATTGAATTATTCAATAAATTATTTATTTTTGTATTTAAATAATTGAATTCTCGTTCAATTTTTTAATAAAAATTGATTTAAAAATGAATTTCAGTTAAAATTTTAGATAGTGCGAAGATTAATTTAATTAAAACTTTTAATAGTTAATTTAAAAAAAGATATTGCTTAAAATTTTTTTTAAAACTTTTTTCGCAAAGTTTTTTTGAAAATTCTGAAAAATAAGATTTTTGAAATTTTCCAATTCTATTGTTTCAAGATAATTGAATTTTTATAAACAAATAATTGAAAATTTTGGAAATAATTGAAATTTCTTTACATTTCATTAGTTTAAAAATAATTAAATTCTTTTAAAGAATTTTATATAAATTTTTCGAAAATAATCAAGGGAAGTTAGTCACCGTAGGTATAATTTTATTTTTAAAATATAAAGTCCCTCTTAAAGTTTTAAATAAATTTTTGCTTCTAAAAGTTATATTATTATATTATTATTTAATAATTATAATTATTGAACTTCTCTTAAATTTATATTTTTTTAAATTTCTGAATGTTTAGATAATTGATATTTATTTATTTTTTAAGCAAATTAAATTTTTATTGATTATTAAGTACATAACTAATTATTACTGCTTACTATTTTCAAAAATTTGAATAAAATTCTTCGCAAGAATTCACTTATTTTTATAAATAATAACATTCTTTGGAAGGATTCAATTACTTTTAGAAATAGTAAAATTCTTTGCAGAAATTCAATTAGTAGCAATACATTTTAATAAAATTGAATTAATCAAAATTTCAATTATAATTATAAACAGACAAGATTATTTTAAAAAATTGAAAAAATTCTTTGTTTAATTCAATTATTATTTTCCAAATTTTTAATTAAAATTATTAAAAAAAACATTATTTTCAAAAAATTTAAAGAAACTCGTCAAAAAAATTTAATTATTCATAAAAACTAATAATAAAAAATTTTGAAGCCATTTGTATATTTATTTATGTTTGAAATCAAATAAATTTAAATTTGATAAGAAAAAAAACCGGTAAAAAACCAGGAATTTTGTTGAACGAAAATAGTAGACACCCTGAAATTATTTGAAATTATTTCTAAATTTAATTAAAAGTAAAAAACAAGCGGACAAGTTTGATATTTTAGGGATGACTAGCGGTGAACCGAAGTGAGATATACAAGAAGTGAATTAACTAGACAATGTAATTTACATGTGAAATTACTCTTACTAGATGAAGAAGATTTATTCATGGTGTCCGACCTACTTTTGGGTGGAGATCTAAGATATCACATACAACAAGTAGTAAAATTTAGTGAAGACAGCATCGTTCTATTCGTCGCTGAAATTGCCCTCGCTCTCGACTATCTACAAAATCACAAAATTATCCACAGGGATATAAAACCTGACAACATTGTCTTGGACGAGGACGGTAAGATATTTTTTTTCCAAATAAAATAAATTGTTAATTCTTTCATTTTCTTTTAAAAATAAAAATCAAATCTAGTTTTTGTTTTTCAGTTATATTAGGTACAAAAATGAGTCATCTAAAAAACATTTTTAATTCAAGTATAAAATTTTATAAGCTTTTTGTTAAAAAGAATATATTTTTTCACGAGTTTTTTTTTTACTAGGTACTCAGGTGCGATTTTAAAAATGAAAAAATATTATTTTGCGAAATATTTACAGGGAAAAGACAAATACAAATAAATATTGAAAATGAACCAGTGAAGATAAATTATGAATTTGAATTAGTGTCTTTCTTTTTAAATTTAGAGAGGATTTTACTGCTTGCTTTCTACAATAGCCATTTTATGGCAAAGCTCGTACAACCTATAAAAGTCAAAGGCGAGTTTTCATTAAGAATTTATTCCCCGTCGCAAATATAAAAGAAAACACTTTATAAGCAAATGCGTTTAAATAATTTTGTCAATTATGAAAAATTTAACTGCTTTTAGAAACTTGAGGACAATCTTAATATTATTATCTAAAAAAAAATAAACACGAAAATAAATTTGTCACTTTGTTATCAATAATTACTAATACAAGGTTGATACAAGTCTGGGAAAAGTCGGAGAAAGTAAAAATAATCAGGGAAAAGTCAGAAATTTTTAAAGTACAGGAAAAAATTAAACTTTTATCATTCATAAGAAAATCCTGAATTTTTGCGTCTTTTTTGTTTGCCTCATAAAGTAACAAATTACCACGAATTCTAATACAAAACCTTCAATTTTTGGCAAATATTTCAAAAATAATTTAATTCTAAAAGAGTTTCGCTTACAATTTTCATAAATTAGATAAACTTCAAAAGGTTTCAATTTGAAATTTTAGAAAACTACAATTTTCAATGAATTAAATTAGAAATTTTTAAGAACTTAGATTTTTGAAAAAATGTTAATAATTCAAATTGTTCTGAAACTTGTTCAATTTAAAAAAAAAATATTTAATCAATTATTAAAAATAATGGATTTATATATAGAAACATTTTAGTTAAAAACGCTAAAAAATTGAATTTTGGAAAAGTTAGAAAAGTTAGGAATAATTGCAGAAATTCAATTATTTTCAAAAGTGATAAAATTCTTCGCAGAAATTCAATTATGTTCAAAAGTTAAAAAAAAAATTCTCGTCAAAATTTCAATTATCTTCAAAAATAATAAAATTCTTCTCCGAATTTAAATATCTTCAAAAATTGTAATAAAAATCTGTGCAAAATTTCAGTTATTTTCAAAAATTTTCCAAATGAAATTAATTATTTAAAAAAAGTTTTTTTGGTAAAATTCAACGCAAACATTTAATTATTTGCATAAATAATAAATATTTGACAAGAGTTTAATTATTTATAATTTATAAATTTCGTCACAGAAATTCACTTACATATGTTCAAAAATTAAAAAATATTCTCGTCGAAATTTCAATACAATTATAAAATTCTTTATAAAAAAAAAATTCTTTTCCAAAATTAAATAATTTCAACAATTTTAATAAAATTCTTTGCAAAGTTTCAGTGATTTTCAAACATTTTCCAAAAGAATTCAATTATTTAAAAAAAAATTTGATAAAATTTTACGCAAACATTTAATTATTTTCATAAATAATAAAAATTTCATAGGAATTCAATTATATTTACAAATTTTTTATAAATTTCTTCGCAATAATTTAATTTTTTTATTAATAATGAAATTTTTAAAGGGATTCAATTATTTTCATAAAGAATAAAACTTATTGCAGAAGTTGAATTATTTTTAATACAATTTTAATCAAATTCGTCAAAAAATGTAATTATTCTTAAAAATTTTATCAAAATTCGTCAAAAGAATTCAATTATTTTCAAAAATTTTCCAAAAGAATTCAATTAAAAAAAAATTTTTTTTAATTAATAATATTCAACACAATACCTGTTTAATTATTTTCATAAATAACAAAATTATTACAGGGTTCAAAAATTTAAAACAATTCTCGTCTCAATTTCAATTATTTTTGTAAATAATGAAATTCTTCTCAAAAATTCAATTATTTTAAAAATTTTAATTAAATTTTTTGCAAAATTTCAGTTATTTTTAAAAGTTTTCCAAAAGAATTAAATTATTTAAAAAAACTTTTGATAAAATTCTAGGTACGCAAATATTTAATTATTTTGATAACCAATAAAAATTTTACAGAAATTCAATTATTTACGAACTTTTTATAAATTTTTACGCAATAATTCAATTATTTTCATTAATAATAAAACTTTTTACAGGGATTCAATTAATTTCATAAAGAATAAAACTTATTGCAGAAGTTGAATTATTTTTAATACAATTTTAATCAAATTCGTCGAAAAATGTAATTATTCTTAAAAATTTTATGAAAATTCGTCAAAAGAATTCAATTATTTTCAAAAATTTTCCAAAAGAATTCAATTATTTAAAAAAAAATTTTTTTAATTAATAATATTCAACACAATACTTATTTAATTATTTTCATAAATAACAAAATTATTACAGGGATTCAATTATTTTTATAAATAATAACATTCTTCTTAGAAATTCAATTATTTTCATAAATAATAAAACTTTTACTTATCGCAGAATTTCAATTATTTTTAATACAATTTTAATCAAATTCGTCAAAAAAAAATATAATTATTCTTAAAAATTTTATCAAAATTCGTCAAAAGAATTCAATTATTTAAAAATTTATTGATAAAATTCTTTATGAGAATTCAATTTTCAAAAAAATTCAATTATTCAATAAATTATTTATTTTTGTATTTAAATAATCGAATTCTCGTAGAATTGTTTTAATAAAAATTGATTTAAAAATGAATTTCAGTTAAAATTGTAGATAATAATTAAAAATTCTATTGCAAGAGTTATTGTGTGAATTTTCAGAAATAATTTAATTTTGAAAAGGTTTCAAATTAAAATCGTTGAGAATTTGATTTTTTAAAACTTTTAACTAACAATTCTGTAGAATTAATTTTTTTTGAAAAAGTTTAATTGAATTTTTCTTTGCAATTATTTCAAGTTTTTATTTTTTAATATACATTTAGTTGAAGAATTTGCGAATAATAGAAATTTCGTGAAATTGAATTGTGAATGAATGGATTTCAAAATTCTCAAAGAACTTTTTAAAAATTTATTAAAAATAATAGATATTTAAAGAAAAAATTTTAGTTAAAAATTGTAGAAAATAATAATTGATTTGAAATTATGAAATAATTAACAGAAGTTACAGTATATTCTTAAATAATATTAAATAATGATTTTACCACTCGGTATTTTTTAATTAAATTATAAGTTGTTGAATTTCAAAAAAGTTTGAATTTAAAATTTCTAGTAATTTATAATTTTCCAATGAAAGAAATTCGTAAATAAAATTTAATAGAACATTTTCTTGAGTATCTAGTTATTTTTAGAGTGAATCAAAATATTCTTTAGGGTCAGAGAAAAAGTGAAAATTTTGTCTGGAAAGCAGAGAAAAACAAAATTAATTTTTTTGTGTCGCCCCTTTTATAGAAAAGCACAAGAAACAAATACTTTTGATCAAAGTGGGAAAAAATAGAAAGAAAGAAAGACAAATTTATGAAAAAGAATATGAAAATGAAAAAAAGGAAGTAAAATAAATAATACTGAAAACCTTACTTTTTGTGAATTGCATATGTTTGAACACGTTTGCCCAGTACTCGCATTTTGACGGAAAATAATAATAGAAGGAGAAAAATAATTGTGAGAAAAATGGGAAAATACCGGAGGCGGAGGGTAGAAATCGACTGACAAAGTTCAACAGGGGTTATGAAGCCACAAAGGATCTATATTATAGTTCACTGTGGTTTCAGAGCGAATTCATTTTCTACCTCGAACCAGCTCGTTTATAAATGCACTTTTTATGGCGGTTAAACAGTAATCTCAGCTGTTATACATATATATAAATTCTCCATTATGTCTTTCAGAACTTAAAAAGGACCAAACTTTTATTCAAAATCACATTTTCAATTCTCTTTCTCACGGCGTTTTTCAACAGAAATTTTTTTTTACTTTTTGTCTTTATTTACAACTTCTTTCAAATTTATGAAATTTATCATAAAATTTCTTTTTTTCTTTTTTTCTTAAAAAAAAGTTTGAAAATGAATTTTAAAACATAGAAACTGACAATAAAAAAACTTCAATTAAAATGTATGTAATACAATTATTTTGATTCTATTTTTTAAATTTCTGAATTCTTTCTTATTTTGAATTCTCTGTTTAAGTATAAAAAGAAGATAATTTCTCCTCTTAAAAAATCTTTGATATTTATATTACAATAAATGTTTGAGTTTCAAAATCTTTAAAAAATTTTTTTGTTTTTTACAAATTATAAAAATTTGTTAATAAAAAGTGCGCAGAAAATGCAAGTAAAATAAAAGTGTATAAATAAAATTAAAAAAAGAAAAAATCTGAGAAGAAGACTAAAGCACAAAAAATGAAATGTATACATTAAAGATAATTACATTATTTTGTTGTACTTTTTTTAGAAAGTTATATATGAAAAGAAATTTATACTCATTGTATATTCTTTATTACTATTAAAATGTGATTTTTGAAAAGATGAAAAATAAACATCCAGTTGTATAGAAGAAATTAAGGGTGGCATGACAAAAGGGGTCAAGCGGTAATTTTATGATATTACAGAAAGCAGGAAAAAAACCAAAAATTCTGCTAAGTCATTAAAAAAAATAATTTTAAGAAAAACGTTTTGAAATCAAATTAAATAAAATTTATCAATATTTCAGGTTTATATTCGAATAATATACTGTAAAAAGAAAGGTACAAATTTAGTACCAAATTTGATGTCAGATTTACAAAATTTTAAATGTCAAACGATTTTTTAAAAATCAGGCTTCGCACTCATCTACTAAAACCTACTATTTACTACTTTTTTACGCTATGGTACTATTTGGATACTTTTTTT